TGGCCCGCCGCGGATCTCGAAGCGCCCTGACTGACGGGCCGCGCCTCTGCAGCCTGACGTCGACGGAACTGATGTTCGGGGTCTGAACTTGCCAAAAGGGGCGCAAGAAGCAGCGGCTGCAGCGAGACTTTTGCGATGTGACAGCCAGGATCTATCGCCTGCTTGACTTGGGCGAGGTCGCAGACAACATCTCGCATATCCAGGGCTCTCGGCAATCAGTTCATGGAAATCAAGAGTGCAGAACTCGCGGTGGAAATGCGCTCTCGATATCACGCTCGAGTAAATGGTGGTGTTTCACAGATCTGGAAGGCTTCATGCAACTCGAGCAAAACGGCAGCGGCGCACATGCCTTTGACAACGAAGTCTCCAGACCGCGCACGTGCATTCCTCGGAGGGCTTGCCCTTGATCGGCCACGGGTAGCTCGGGGCCCCTTCGGCCACGATAGGATGAGAGAGACTTTGTCCAAGATCGTCTGACCGAGAAATCGCGGGGTGAGCGGCTGGCGTCTGCCGCCGGCCTTCCCGATCACGCCGCACAGCCCGTGTCTGTTCACCGACGTCGCCTGCCCGGGCGCGCCGCGCTCCGCGCGAGCAGGCTGCCGCGAAGCCGGCGAAGCAGAATTGCAGTGCAACCCTGGCGCGCCATTCTCTGAGTGTTGGTCCACCCATCCATTTTCAATCGGCATCCTTCTGCGTCGCTGCTCGCTTGGCCTCGGCGTCAGCTGCTGCTCGAGACCGCGTCGACATTGCCTGCGCCTTTAGCTCCAGGGAGAAATTAGACTTGGCCATGCAGCGAGGCTGCGCCCAATGCGCGTTGTCGGCGCGATCGCGACAGCGGTCGATGGACCGCGTCAGACTATCGCGCGTTCATAAGCGCGAGGAGGTTCTCGGATCCAACGTCGCCTTCGAACGCCGGGCCCCCAACTGCGAGGCCCTCGGGGACCTCGGAGGCCCTGGAGTCCTAAGCGCCTTTGAAATCATGCAAGGCTCGACAGATCTCCCGGCGCACTTGGCAGCGCGCCCCGACGGCGCCTGAGATATGTCGACCCAGTCCCCCCCGCAAGCGCGGTTGGAGATCGCCCGCGTGTCGTCGACAGTCTGGTGCGATTCGACCTGGTAACAGAGGCAGCGCCGCTTGTCCATCGACGGCGGCGTCGCGCATCCAACGGGCGCAGCTGACGATGTCGAAGCATCTGTGCAACTTGAGCGGTCGCATCTGTTGGCTGTGCTGAGGTGGCAAGCTGCGCGGGATAAAGGGGCGCCGCGACGACGTCGGCGCGCCCCTTGCTGGCGCGGAGTTGGCCGGGGTCAAACCGGCGACGTTGCTGGCTGGCCCGAGTGTCCTGCGACCTGGAAGAGAGACGCGCGCGTCCAGAATTGCGGGCCAGCCGCTGCCAGTCAACTGCGTTGGCTCGATCTGCCTATCCGCAGCAACGACGACGGGGGGCCCGACCTGCTTGAGGAAAGCGCCCGCCATCCCGATATCCCTGCTCGAGGTGTCGATCCCTGAGGGGATTTGCGAATAAATGTCGACGACAACGAAGCCGCCGCGGACCGTGCTCCAAACGCGCATGGCAGTGGCCCGTCAGGGCCATTTGATGGAGTCAAGTTCTGAGCGCTATATAAACCGATATACGGTGAAACCGACGTAGCGAGACCTCCAGCAATGCCCCCAGTGCCATGCAAGCCCTTGGCAATAAGTCGGCAGAGCGCCTGGCTTTACACATTGGGCAGGTGCGAGGTGCGTCTCCCGAGCTCTGATCGCGTCGAATTTAGAGCTGCACTTTTGCACCTGGTACCCCTGTTTGCAGTGAGGAGGGCCCACCGATGATCGCTTTTGCTAACGACTGGGGGGATTACCGTTGAGCTTCTTCTCCATGGTGGCGCGCCAATCGATCCCGTCTGTTTGCGCGCAATGGGCTCGGCCACCACGGCACTTCTCCGTCGACGACCCAACGTGGGCGCTGTTCTCCACCAGACTCTGAAGGCCCTCCGGCGCGTGAAGCTTGATGTCCTGCTGAACTGTAGAGTGAGCGACCTTGGTCGCCTCAGTCCATGAGGTCGTCAAGGTCAACGCTGCTGTCGTCATCGAACGTCTGAGCCTCTGCTTGCTCAGCTTGGCTCTCAGCGGCAGGTGGCGGCATGGCACCCGCGGCAGGACGAGCGGCAGCATGGGGAGGGCGAGCATGATGAGGCGCGCGATCCCCGGCGTTGACCAGTTCCTTGAACTGCTCAGCGATGAAGGTCTGGAAGTTGCGCAGGCCTACGTGCCTTGACCTGCCAATGCTTGTCGAAGGCTCGGAATTTGCGCAGGAATGCGTGTTTGTAGACTGGCTTCGCCATCGACCAACGCACCGCCTGCGCCCTTGCCGCTTCCGATTGTTGAGCAAGTTCGTGTTCTTGCTGCTCAAGTTGCTGAACCTCGGCTCGCAGCGCGACCACCTCCTCGAACTGATCTGACAGGTGCTGCTCTGCCTTCCGAAGCTTTGACTGGGACCCCCGAGCTTTGACTCGACACTTATGTGTTGCTGCTGGGCACGGTACGATACGGCACGAGTACCTCCTGCACGTAGCGCCCGTATGTTGCTTATGAAATCCTGACATTCAAAATGGCCGCGGCCTCGAACTGCAGCTCTGGCGATAAGGGGCTGCAGCTCTTCACGACTGACCTCGAGAAATTTGGGGGGCCACCGTTGTCCCAACGGAGCGCGCTACTTGCCTCTCTTCCTCCACCGTCTGTGGAGTTTTCCCCACCCATCTCATGGGCCCAAGTACCACGACGAGCGGGGCAGTTTCCATCACGTACATCGAGAAATTTCGCTGTGGTGGCAATGTTTGCAATCAGAGAGCGAGTCTAGATTCGTGCGACAGCCGCAATGACCAAGGAATGTCTTTATATGTCTTTGAGAGGTGCTCCAAGCACTGAAGCTTGGACTCAGAAAGGATGCCTTCGGCGCGCATTCTCGATGGCCGTCGTTCACAACGGATGCCTTTGGTTTAACTCCCCGCGACTTACGGTTTCAGCCTTGAGCCAAAATGGCTACGGACACTTTTTCTCCTCCCATTCCTCCTCCACCTCCCCCACCCCGTCCTCCACCTCCTGCCCCCCTCCCCGTCTCCCTGGTCCTCCCCCCGCAGACCACCGACATGGTGAATGTTTCACAATGCGGACGCCTGGAGGCCTCGACGAACTCCCCTGGACCGGCTTCTCGTCTTGAGTAATCATTTGACGATGCCGGCGCCCATCGAGGTCCCCGGGAGGGAGAACACAACAAAAACTTTGCGTCGTGATTCTTGACACCCTCTTCCCCCCGAGACCTGATGTCTTGTTTTTTTTAACGCGGGGCCCCCAGAAATCTACACCCACTCCTGGGAACCAGGTTCTCGTCCTGAGTCGTCCATTGACGGACTCAGGGCCCGGCGCGGGCCTCTATTACTGAAAACGGCAAAACACGAACCCTCACTCGTGTTTATTTTCAATGCGTTGGATCTTTTGGTCCTTCCCCCCCCCCGCGGCCGCGGCCGCGGGCAGGCATTTTGCCGCGCGAGGCCTCGCGTCTCAAGCCGACGTCCTGAGGGCGCGCGCCTCCTGGACTCCGACCTCGGAGAGGTCGGGGCGGTCGGGGAGGCCGCCAGGAGACCCCCCCCCACGGGGCCAAGGATTCCAAAGGGGAGGTCTTTTCGTTATGTCTTTGCATGTGGGCCCCTCCACAACAACCCCTCGCCATTTCATCGACGTGCCGTCTGGCCGCGCTGGACCGTTACGTCTGAGAGCGCGGCCAGCTCTGAGCAGGTAGACCGCGCGCGCTTTACCAGCCCAACCCCAGCACCAGGGCGGTGGAAGGGCATGGGGTCGAGTGCTCCAGGAAGGCAGAAACAATGACTGCGACTGGGCCGAGGAAGGGGGCACCGAGGACGGACTACAGGGGCCTCAATCCCGAAGAAGGGCAGGAAGGACTCCAGGACCCTCCCCCGCCTGCCAATCCTCCATCCTCCTCCGTCCATAAGCCTCCTCCTCTCTCCTCCTACTCCTCCCTCCTCCTCATCCGCCTCCTCCCTCCTCATCCTCTTCCCTCCTCCTCCGGCTCTCTCCCTCCCTCCTCCTCCTCATCTTCATACCCCTCCCCCTTTTCCTCCTGTTCCCACTCCTCCTCCCCCTCCCCCTCTCCACCCCCCCATCTAATACTCCTCCTCCTCCTCTTCTTCCTCCTCCTCACTCCTCCTCCTCTTTCTCCTCTTTGTCCCTTTCCTCCTCCTCCCCGTCCCATCCTACTCCTCCTCCCTCCTCCCTCCTCCCCCCTCGTCTTCCCTCCTCCTCCTCCTACTCCCTCCTCCTCCTCCTCCTCCTCCTCCTCCTCCTCCTCCTCCTCCTTGCCCCGAGGGCGGGGGCCTGGCACCTGTTCTCGTGGTGTCAGCGCCGCACACCCTTCGGGGCACACTGTCAGCGTCAATTGCATGCGGCGGCTGGGGGCAGATAAACCGGCATTCGTCGTTCTTGCACCAGCCACGTGGCACTCTGCCCGCGGCAGCGGCGCGTCAGCTGCGCCCGTGACCTGGGGATGGGTACCAGGCACAGGGAGTGTGCACTTGGTTGAGAGGCGGGGCCATGTGGTCCGTAAGTCCCTTGGGACCTTGTGTCCGCTCACCCTGGGGTACAAATCTAGTTGCACATGCCATCCGATTCGGCAGGGGTGCCGGTCGGGAAGTAATGCGCGGTGACGCGGTGAACTGGCTGTCCCCCTACGCACCACGCCGTCTCGGTTGGGCAGCGAGTCGCTGAGCGACGAGGTATCTGCCTTTCCCCTGATCGTCGGTGCTGGCGCCTGCGGGCCTATTCCTCGTGTCTGGGAGGCCGAGGGTGACGGTTGAGCCTCGCTCGCCGTTCAGTTCTATGACACTCGTGACACTCCTCCTCCTCCTCCTCCTCCTCCTCCTCCTCCTCCTCCTCCTCCTCCTCCTCCTCCTCCTCCTCCTCCTCCTCCCCCGGGGGGCGCGCCGGCGCCTCTGCCGGGGCCGCCGGGGAACTGCGGGCGATAGGCGTGCGCCGGGACCACCTGGGGGACGGCGGGGACAATCGTGCGTCGGTGGGGGGCCTCGGTGCTGACCTGCGTGCGCCGTGGGCGCACAGGTCACGGCCCCCCCCACTCGTGAGGAGGGCCGGGCTCTCGCCCCAAAATTGAAGGGGGAGGGGGCGGCGGCAGGGAGGCAGGGAGGAGAGGATGCAGACTGGCCCCTATATCTAGAGAGCAGAAGAGCCACCCTCATAGAGGAAAGATAACTAACTATGCACATACACCGATTCTGGCCAGGCCCAGCCTGCGCCCAGGATCGGTGCATATGCCCTCCTGCCGTGGCCAGGAAAGCATATGCACCGATCCTGGGTCAAGGATGGGCCTTTCCAGGATCGGTGCATGTGCATCGCTCTCTTCGCCAGAACCTCTAGAGACCAGAAGAGCCACCCTCACAATCCGCCACCGCGCCTGCAGCGGTTGGTGTGCTCAAGGCCCTCTCGCCTCTCGCGAAGGCCTTCCCGACGCACCGAACCCAAGATGCGTTCGTTTATGCGGCCAAGTTCCTGCGTTTGGGGCCTTCCAGGCAGAACATGGTCCCAGATACAAAGCCTGGGGAAAGGGGGTTCCATGCGAAGCACCCCGGCAATTGAGGCCGCCTAGCGAACGCACCCAAGGAAGGGATCGAGCAGGACACGGCTGCTTAGTAGGCGCCTGTGCTGTCTGGTGTGAAGCTTTCACCGAGCAGCGTGGGCCTGGCGTTGGCGCTCCTTGTCCGCCGGCCCTCTGCCGGGCAGCGGGGGGAACAAGTGGCACGCGTGCCCTGGCTCTTGCACAAAGGAGCTGCTGGAGACAGGAAGCTTTCGCCTCCTTCCTCCAGGAGTTCACTTTTTGTGGCCAGGGCCGGGGGGGGGGAGGCTGGGTCCAGGACACCAGAGCCAGCGGGGCCAGGGAGGTCAGGACCAGGACCAGTGGC